TCATTCTGTTGATCAATTCTGCAAATCCCTTTTGTAGATCGATTTTGCAGATCACTTTGTAGATCCGTTTACATTATTAAAATATGTTTTTTTTTTGCTTATATTATCAACCTTTATTAACTTCCAACAATTAAAGCAAATAGCTATTTTACTATTATAAATATTAAGCTTGTGATAACTAATTGAAATTTCTTTTCCTATGCAATTCTCGTAATATGTCTCAGTTATTTCTTGCTCAAATGATTTAAAAAGACAGAATATATGATAATAACGATAACTACTATATTTTTTATTAATTATTCGCAAAGTTGATCTTATTTAATCAGCTTATTATTGTGGAGTTTCATGCAATCTAATTATATATAAATTATTAAATATTTTTTCTACCTTTCAAAGTTAAAAGAAGTGCTATAACCAATATGAATAATAATTTTTAATATATTTCATTTTATAACCAAGATGGAGATTAGTGAGTTTAGACACAAATTTATTAAAAATCTTGTTAAAGATAATTTATTAGGCCTTACTCTATTAATATGAGTTCCTGACATATTAAACGATTTATAGCAATTTATAGCGAATTTAATGAATTATAATATTTTTATAGAGTTTTGTCTATTTTAGCTGATTTAGCAATATTATACTTTAATAAATATCAGATTCATTTTTGATTTAGCTAAAATATGCACAGCATCTTCGGCTAAATCAGTTTGTGGAATAATGTATTATATATCATATCACATAGGATCTCAACTAGTTTCTTAATAGTTCTAGAAGAGTTCTAGGAATTAGCAAGTTTCTATATGTAACACCTTATTTGAAGAACATTTCTGCTAAATCACAAAATGATTGATCAATCAGATTATTATATTACATTTCACCATATTCATTCGAAAAAAGAAAGAATATCAGGACAAGCTATTAGGATATGCTATCTTCCGCAGATCAAAGGAGATTTTTATTCACATGTATATAGAATAATTTACACATCAATTTTGCAGATTTAGTTAAAAAAGAACAAAGTGTTAGCTATGCTAACCCAAACTTATACTTTTTATTTATGTATAATAATTCAAAAATGAAAATCTGAACATATATACCCAGGCACAGTAATATGACGCAGTAAACAAATTATTGGTTTACTCTCAAAATACCAACTATTATATAATAAACATTATCATCAGATAAATTTAATATAAATCTAGCAGAAAAGGTTCTAATTCGTGCTATTTTAGATTTACCAATACCATTAAAAAGCTTATAAACCTTCTTGATCCTTTCCATTCTCTTTTGTAAAGTTTCATCAGAAAGTTCTGTTACAGAGATTTGTTTTCTAACTTCATCTTTAATAAGAGTATCAGCTCCATATTTACTATAATTGGGTTTTAATTTCTTATATCGTAAGTATAAAGCTTCTCCAAAGTCAAAATATCAATTGATGATATTCTGTGTTACATCTTTATTTTTTCTTCAGCTTGGTCTATCATACTAGATAGATGAAAAAAAATTACCAGAGCTTAGTGAAGCATCTGATATAGCTTCAATCAATTTTTTCAAATCTTCATTATTAGAATTATCGGTTAATAACTCTTCGATAAGTTTTTTAACATAGAAGAAACGCCTTCCTTATTAGATATCTTCTGCTTTTTACTGAACGATTTTTTGGTAGATATGAATGATTTTCTAGTACGTTTTTTCTGTGCATCACTTAATTCCAGTTTTATTAGAGTTGATATCTCTGATATTATTTTAGACGAAGGGCAGATAAGACACATTTTGTGAAAATCCTTAATGCATAACATGTTTGCAAGGTAAAAAATGGTTGATTTCGTGAATTTTAGAAAGATTTCTTCAAAGTATTTCTCACATATACAGTGAACTCTTGATATAACGAATTCTAGGATCTGGATATCAACTTCGTTATAAGCTTATAATGAATTTTTTAAAGAATTTAATTGGCTAGTTCACTATAGTAAAGGTAATTTTAATATATTTGATTTAAAAATTCACTATATCAAGGGTTCGCTATATCAAGGTTTGACTGTAGATCATTGGATTTGCCTGCTAGAGAGTTCCTTTGAAATCGAGTCATGCAAATTTTTAGAATTACTAGATATAGTATTAATAACCTCAATTGGGCTGGTTACCTAATCAGAAGTTTTCTTTACAATCATAATAGTCTTATATGAACTTTGTTCCTTTCCACTAATATTCCTAGTTCATTCATAAGAATTATATCAGTCTCATCAGTATTGTCATGGGAAATTTTTGGGATATGGCCTGAGACATTGGGACTTAATGTGAGACATTTTAAAATATAGTGTGGGATAGTCTCAAAATGTTTGGGACATCGAAAATATACATCACTGGTTTCATCAATAGGTATTTTATCTCCTAAATTCACTTGCTTAGAGGTAGTATCTACAATCAGAGTTATATATAGTCTTATCTTGTGATCTCTTTCCTTAAAAAGATCTGGAAAAGAAAAGTTTCAATATCTCTATTACAATCCTTATTCAGGCATCATGTTTTACCATTTACTAGATACTTTTCGAGATACTTCTGGTGAAAGATGTATTTACACAAAGCTAAGGTAAATTCTTTGTATGGTGAATTCAATGCAGAATAAATTTCTTTTCCACATAATAAGCATGGATTCACATCTGGATACTGATATGCATAGCAAGAGTGCTAGTATAATGATGGATATTTTTTGCAAATGCTATAATGTGAGTTCTATCCATACCATCTTTGTATATAGCTGAAGAATCTTGAATAAAAAATAATCATTCTGTTTTATATCACTTGCTAAATTTTGCAGGAGAAAAGATTCTGCAAATTTCACTAACAATTATGCATTGCATTTTATTATTCTATTAATCTCCTACAAATTGATAAAAATGATGAAAAATAGCATATACATGAGCAGGGTGGACATACTTCATATTATCACATTTGTTGATCATTTTGCCGATCATTTGCCGATCATTTGCCGATC